TGCACCCATGTATTAAACAATTAATGTGCTACAGATATCTAATTAAGATGTAAAATTTTAGAAAGGTTGGCATTGAAACTTACATAGTAGCACACAAAATGTTCAATGACAAAATTGAGGTTTGTCGGCTGCAACCACCAGAGAATAGATATTTACATTTTAAATTTAAAATTTACAAATGTGTGTGTAAATATTTTTGTCCAAAATGAGTGGTTATGAGTGGAAGTTAAATCGTAGAATTTCTTCGAGAAAATTTCTGATACACACATGCTAAATTATATTCACAAAATACAAAAAAAAATGAAATAAAAAAGAGCAACATGCACGATTATTTTTGTATTTGAATAAATATTTTCTTGGATGTAAAACCTAAGAAATAATTTTTTTTTGCACCGTTGGTATGATAAATTTTGCAGAAACGAAGAAATTAGGTTTTTATTAATGGGAAAAGTATTTTAAAAACATATAGATTTTTTACGAAAATTTTCGGCAAAAAATGACAACTAATATATTTTAGTTCACGGGCCACAAAAAAAGGCTTCGCGGGCCGCCAGTTGGAAACCACTGATATAGACATATACCAAACGACTTCATTATTAATCAATGGCATTCATAATTTATGATTTTTGTTAAAATTAAAACCAAATGAAAGAGTTTTAAAAATGTTAAATTTTCAATTTTTCAAAACCTTCACATCCTAATACAGAAATACAAAACAGCAAATGGAGATTTACTTCAAAACATATTAAGCAGGCTATGTACATTCAAATAATATTTTCAGGAGTGATCAGATCAGTCCTAGACATCTAATACATTCATCGTGGTTAAGATTGCTATCATATTGCTTTCTTTATTACATAAATTAAACCAACTCGCTATCATTTGAACAGACATTTTAAATTATGACATTTCTTTTAAATATTACCTTTCATAAAATGGCTCCACATTCACAACAGCTCGACAAGGTGAAAACAATTCCGATTTCAACACTCCGCACTTGTGTTGAGCCCAGCTTTTCCTGTGAGGGTGAATAGAACACATATCCTCGAAAGTGTGCGGTTTGGGACAGAATTCGTGAATTTTCCAACTGTCAGCAAATATTGAGGCATTTACTTCTGGCAAATTGCCAGAGGGAGTGCAAAAGTCGTCTAATTGATCATCATTAAAATTTCCACAAAGGCCTTGCACCTAAATTACAACAAATTAACTTAGAATCATTTTACAAAAAGTGATGGAATACAATATATGCATGTAGTGGTTCCAGTGCAAAAGGTGGAGGAATACATTATTATTTGACGACTATGACACACGAATAAAGTACAAATGATCAGATAAAAACCAAGCTGCCCACTTTTCAAATCAGCTATCAGTAATCAAAAGTACAATTACACAGAAATATATAGTTAGTCCTTACAGAATTTCATATTAGCACAGTGACTAGCAAACAAGCAAAACTTAAAAGTGTATTTTCTGTTTAATTATGTAAAAGGTATATATTTTTGATAAAATTATGCATGAATTTACTACTAAATAAAAAATAACACTTAGGTAAAGGTATCAAATTAAAAAAATATATAGCACTTAAATTTCATACTTCATTACAAAATTAAATTGATTACTTGGAATCTATGTTCTAGTTTTTGGTAAAAATAGAACTAGCCTTTGTTGACTTTTTAGCATTTTTTATTTGAACCACCAAACATTTTTACTCATAGCATTTCATATTTGAGTATATGTTCTTTTGCTTTTCAATAAGGAGAGAAAATAAATGTTTCAGTTCATGGAGAAGGCATAAATTCCTTCGTTTTTTTTCTCATCAACTTGAAAACTCTGTTTGATGCAGCATTGCTACGTGAAACAAGCAATAAAGCCAAAACTGGAAAAGACGGAGAGTTAAAAAAAAATACTGACGATTAGCTCCAAAGAACAAAATTTAACAACTCTTGGTAGTTAAAGGAAATAGATCTTATTTTATATAGATTAATACAAAAAAATTTTAAAATTCGTTATTTTTTTACTTAGTTAAGAGTTGTTAAGATTATTTAGGTAATCCTGGCTATGAAATCGTAATAATTACAGATAAATCATAAAAGTCGTCATCTCTGAATTTGTTTCTTTTGGTAAATCAGTTGAGATAAGTTTATGCAATAATTAAAATATATACAATAATCAAACATGCATTAGACAGCACTATTACATTTTTGTTCTTTGTCTGTCATTCAACTCCAATAATTTAAAACATAGATGATAGTGTCAGGTAATTTCTGGACATTTCATTTTTCATGAACAGGCTAGATAAGAAAAGACAGGTGCATTGACAAAAAGGCAGCAAATCCAGAATAGCTTTTTTTCTCTTTCATATTTTGTATTACGCGAGGGAAATGAATTATATAATTTCAATATTTTATTTTTTAAAAAAAGAAACAGAAGTAGAAAAGTAACAACTAAGTACCCTGTTCCTCCATTTTGGATCCAAAGTGACATAGATGAGCGTTCCCTTGTTCCACCTGATAGTGACACCAATGTCGGTGTAAATCATAACAAACAGGCCCGATTCAAAGACAACAAATCGTGAAGAGAGACTTGTTTTAGGCATGGGTTCATCTTTTGTAAATGTTATCTTCTCTGCTTCAGCTGCAAAAAATAATAAAAATAAAAAAGAAAGAAAATTAGTATAAAATTCTCATAAAATTTCTTCCTTTAAAAAAGTAACTGAACTAGCAACCTGAATACCAATTTCCCAGATAATCGAAATATGACATTAAATTGGTACAAAAATTATGATCTATACAAAATGCTTAAAACCAAAATCTACATTCATCTAGATGCCGTCCAGGTGACAGAGTGGTTAGCATGCTTAACAGCAAAGTCAATGGCTGCGAGTTCGAATCCCGCTCAGGGCATGGATGTTTCTTTGTGTGTTGTTTTTCTGTTGTGTGATGTGCAAATGTGGCTCAAATATAATTTTAATTTAAAAAATCAAAATACAATTTCAATTTAGGTTTTTCAGCAATATAAAAAAATAAAAATTATTACTTCCTATCGTTTAAAGTTCTTAATTTATTAACATAAAATCAATAAAATTCAAAAACATTTTCAAAAACTTTACACAATCATGATAAAATAACTAGTTTCTGATAAATATTGCAGAGAAAATTGTGAAAATCTTGCATTTTTTGTAATTTAGAATGACAATCGATACAGCAAAGAAAAATCTATTTTTAAAAGATAGAAAATTAAGCACTTTCGACAAGCCCCAAATAAAAAAAAAGGACTTTTAAGGGCTTATAAGAAATGTCAATAAAAAATAAGCACTTCTTAAAAACGATTATGCACCCTGCACCTCATAGGAAGACAAATGCTCTATCTCCTGAGCCATACGGCTCTACATTTACAAATAGAAAAAAACATTTTTCATAAAGGTGAATTCGGAAGGATAAACTCACCAATTAACTCATTTATGTCTCCCCTATCAGTTGTTAATGTACCCATTTCAAGAGTAAAAGATTTACTGCATGTTGCACCTCCTGTACCACACGGTACATTTTGAATAGAGAGTGAGTACGAAGCGCCTTTCATTTTTCCTTTACTCAAAATATATTCACATTCCCCGTGGAAATCAAATATTCTGCCATCGTATGTTTTGAAGTGAGATTCTCCCCATGCTGTACAAACGCCAGGACATACTTTTTCAGAACATTGCCAGGTTCCATTTTGGCAAGAGCTACAACAAAAAAAAATAGTTATCTTTAACCATCAATTATTATGAAATAGTGGGTATAGTAATAGTAAATTTTTTTGGGGGGCTCCAATGAATTCAAAATTTTTATTGATTTGTCTTAAAATTAAAGGACAAAGGTTTTGCATAATATTTTTAAATTTCAAAAAAACACATGAAGCTTTGTTTTCTTTAGTAAATTATAATATAAAAATGTTTTCTCTCTGAAAAGCACTAAACTCTTATAATACTGTAGTATATCACTAAACTCTTATAATAACGTAGTGTAAAATTTATGCCATTTTCTTAGAACGGTCAATGAAAACTGTAGAACAAGTAGAACATTTTTTGCCAGATAAGAGAAATTAAAAACACCCATCTTTCTCAATTTTGCAACCCGTTAAAAGTTTTTACAAATCGCAGCAATCCTGTAAAGAGTCTCAAAAGTTCTGCTAGAAATAATTTTAATAAAAATATAGGTTCTTAATCAAAAATTTGTATTTTTTTATCGAGTCATGAAGCATACAGTATAGAGTATTGTACAGAATAGCATAAAAGATAAAAATCTTTATACATATGAACTCCTTTACCTAAATTTTCAATAACCATTTTGCATAAATGTGTTGATAAAAAGTTCATTTTCTTCCTTCGGGGCAGTTACAAGCTTGTTGAAATAGCCTTTCAAAGTTCTCATAGCATTTAACTATGCGACCTGACTGGGCAGCCAATTCTCAATAAAATGGGAAACTACCTAACAAGATATTAGCTCAACGCTGCTCAAAATAAAAAAATGTGTTGTTCTTTTACACAGCACTTTGCTTTTAATGAACTGACAGCTGTCTTTCAGTCTTTTCATTAGTAACATTTTGCTGCATAAATGGTACAAAATTTAAATTGTTTAAGAATTTTAAGACCCTATTTATTATGGGTGCTAATCCTATCTTAAGTAAAATATTTTGTTGTATGATATATGCATTTAGTTAAAGAGTATTTATTATATATATATA